AGTTCTTGGGAAGTGAACATCCCTGACCATCTCAGACATGAATCCAAGAACTTCATCCAAGACTTAGTAAATGGATTCAAGTGGCATTTGGAAGTCAAGGTCACAAAGTCCCTAACCTGAAGCCACACACTCGAGATAGATGAGAGGCTCCGCAGACAAGTTTGGGTATCTGGTTTCTTGGCCCACAACTGATTAATGGTGTGATAATACAATACAATAAGGAAAAGCATGAAAGGAGGATAGGAAAGAAGGGGAGGGTGCATCAATAGAGCTACCTGGAAGAAAGAGACGAGGCAGGAAAACCATGAGAAACAGACAGAAGAATTTAAGTGAACTTAAATGGTAGATCTGCAGAGGGTTAGTCAGCTATACAACCTCAAATAGCCCTCCTGAGGACACCCCAGTATCACAGTTAATCTATCAATGCTGCCCTGCTACTAAAGATGACAGGACAATCATAGCCACCCTTGTGTGAGGCCTCCCCTATTCAGGTCACCTTGATGGACACTTCTTGTGCGTTAGCACATAGCACACACACAGTGATGATCACAACGGTGACCCTGAATCATAAAGACGGCTAAGTGATATTAGCATACCCTTCCTTTTTCCTAAAAGTGGGATACTATAAACATACAGAAATGTGTTTTAAGAGATTTCCTTGCAAAATCATTGTTTTTTCAATTTAAAATCATTTTTTAATTAAATTGGTAAGAGTAAGTTGGATCAGTTGCTTCACCAGCAATGCCTAATATTTTAGGCATCGCTAGACCTCAAGTTACATGAAAACTGAGACAGGTATGTGTGTGAGGGCATGGAGGGCATGCGGTAATTTTTTGGTTTTATTTTGTTTGTTTCATGGTTCTTTTGGGTTGTTGTCTTTGGTTTTTTTTGCTGCTGTTGTTTCTTAAGAAAGTGAATGGAAAGGCAAAGTTTACATCTGATTCCCAACTGTGTTTCATCAGTCCTATAGGACACATTTCTATCTATAATTGTAAAAATGTAACATAGCATCTCAAAGTCTTAAATAGGAGTCTTTTTAAAGGGCTGAAAGATTTAACAGCAGAAAATTGTGTATCTCCATTAATGTGGACTATTATTGAGTATGATGAAGGTCTTTGGCAATGCCAACCCACAATTTATATATATATATATATATATGGCAATACCAGATGAGTGAGCTTGCATCTCTTTTTTCCTTTGATCCTTCTTTGGCCCTACTGTGTTTTGGTGCTTCTTCTCTGGTTCTCTGTGTACCTTTGTATGTGCTTCATATGTTGGCACCTATACTTGTTTACATGTCCATTTGACCTTATGTGTGCATTGTGTGTGTGTGTATTTTTCTTGGTGTCTCAGTTTTTTAATTAGTCTTTTCTCTTTGATGTTTCATGTTTCTTTCTTTTTTTAATTTTCTCTTTACACTTTTCCACTTTTAACTTTTCTATCACATTCTCTCTCTCAAGTATATTATAACATTTAATTATATCCTTCATTATGCCTTGTATATTTTCATAGAAACATACATTCATGCATTTACATTAAATAGAGGCTAAACTTTATTTTTAAAATATTTCTTATCTGACGGGATGAAAGAGTTTTTTCTCACTTGATTCTGGCTAATAATTTCTATGATTCATGGCTCTTGATTTATAATTTCATGGCCCATCATGAAATCTTTAGGTATTCTAAAGATTCCAATCAAAGGATATAGAAAATAAAAATGTGTAAAAGGAAGATAAAAATTATAGGTAGAAAATTATCATTTGAGTCTCCAAATTCACCACAAAACATATTTGTACTTCACCTACTTCTCATATAGACACAGAAATTTACAGCAATAAAATACAAGTTAATCACTTCTTACATGCCTTATGTCCTCTATCTCTCTGCACAAATTTAAAAAATATTAATAATAACCAATTCAAATAAATTTATTATCATTAGTATACTCATATACAGTTAAACAACATAATAATGTCACATCAACTAGGAAAAACATGCTTCCTAGAACAATTAATATGGAGGCTGTATTTAGAAAATGGTGAAGCAAAATGAAATTGATTCATGGTCTACCACTATTGTCTTATTTTATCTCTTTCCTATTTTGCAATCCCCATCAATAATTATAAGCCTTTAAGATATGAAATTATTTAATTAGGTGTATCTTTTATAGGTTATTAAAAATAAAGTTGAAGGGATAAATTTTATTTGACATAGGTTTTTCAATTAAAGTGGAAATATTATATTTGCTTTGAATTGAATACCAGAAAACTCGAAAAACTGACATTTCCAGTAAACCTAGAGGGGTATGGAGCACAGAAATACCAGTCTTACTTTTATCTCTGAAATGTAAAAAAAAATGCCAAATGTGACTCAGGGGTCATGAATGTTCTACTACTTCCTATCACTTATCTTGTCCCTTTGTTATCAGCAGGTATCTACGAATCCTATCTGTCAAGAGTGAAGCGGACGGTTGTATCACTGAGTGTACTGCAGCAGTAATTGTAGGTTAGCTTTCAATTACCAGCAATTTTGGATCTACATTGTGGATTACAGGAAGATTCTGAGAGCCCCTATGATTTTGTCAACATCAGATAGTGTTCTTCTATTTTCTTCCAGAGTCAAAAGTAAATGGCATTGGATTATTCATTAGAAACGCTATGTGCATTTTTCCTCCCTTCCATTTGTGTAAAGTAAAATATTGGAATTCATGTAACCCAGGGCATGACCTTCCTCTGAAGGGTTGATACACAGTTAATAGCCCATGGGAAGGAATTTAATCCTTGGATCCCTAAAAAGCTATAAAGAGCCTAGATCACTTCTCCATGTACAAGCTTGGTTTTAGAAGCACACAAAGCTCATTTTGGAGTCGAATGGAGAAGTCTGTGACATATAGCACATAGAGTGATTCTAACAGATGGATTTTTCTTGAAATAACTTCATTAGTTAATCACTTTTTTTTACATATACTTTTTCTAGCTAACTGGTATAGCTGCCAGCTGGAGCTGCTAAGAATCCTCCAAAGAAACTGGTAGGTAGGGAGAATATTGGCTAATTTCACCAATTCTTGGATGAAACTTCTACTAATTTCATACTAACCATCACGTATTTTGAGAGTGAAATCTTTTCCTTTATTTTTTTTTTCAACTTTTTCCAAAAACCTTACTTATCTGTGTTTAAACCAAATCAATCATATGAAAAAAACTTTCAATTTTAATAAATTGTCTAGATCAGAGTTTCCCATACTTGACACTATTGACATTGTGGATGAGATAATCCTTTTTTTTCTGTTCTTTGCTTTTGTTTTTTTTAATTTTTGTAGCAGGTTGTCCTGTGCATTGTAGGCTGTTGAGGAGCATCCCTGGTCTCTACCCACTTGATGTCAGTAGCATCCCCAGTTGTGACAACCAAAGATGTCTCCAGACATTACTGAATGTCCCTGGGGGCAAAATCACCCCAGCTGAGAACCACCACTCTAGAAATAGGAGGTTCCTAGTTTTAATTCAATTTTTTAAATAATTTTTAAAATATTTTAGTGTATTCATGTATGTATTTAATTCAAGATATGTCTAAAATATGAGAAGTTTTTGCCTTTCAGTCAGGTAAATGAAATGTTTTTATTGGGGAGGGAGGGAGTAGAATTATTGAAGTGGTTAATGCTTTCATAAATCTCTCTGGTTAAAGAGAAAAAAAGACAAGATAAATGGCTTTCAACTACCAATGAATATTAATTATCTAAGGAGTGTCATCATCATCTTCATCAGACATGTTGAAGAGTTCTTTTCCTTTAAAGAAGGTCCTCAATGTAACTGTATGAGTAGAATAATAAAATACTGTGGTGGGATCATTTGAGATGTAAGTGATTAATTTTCAGCTTAGATGCCCTAAGGCATTTTTAAATAAAGGAAAGCAGTGTAATTTAATGAAATGAACATTGAGAAAACTGGGATCTGTTTTGACTTTACGGTATCATTAGGCAGTGATTTGGGGCTCACAAAAGGATTAGCCATTCAGATAGAGACATTCCCTGGCCTTTGAAATTCAGGGGTAAATATAATGTTCCCCTCCTACTTATGACTTAGTGATCTTTCTGTAATTTATATATTGATGGATATAGGAAGAGTACCATGGGAATAAGATGCTGATTACCAAGGGTTTTAAAAGGGAAATAGTGAGCCTATTCTAGTTTAGCAGGAAAGTAAGAATGTAACAACATGAAGTATGTGGAAAGAATCATTCATTGTTTTTTAAAAAAGTAATGATTCTATTCGAATTGCTTTCTTTGCAGCAAAGGCTTTCTAATACAGATTTGCTCAAGCAGGCTCTTAATACAAGATAATTTTAACACTTAACCAATTCCATGTTTGAATGTATAATTTCCCCCCCAAATCGAGACATGTACCTAAAAATTTTATAGTGATCTGTTTTCTTTGTTAGATTTCCCACAGCCCCTGAAGAATTTAGATCTTACACTTTATTTTAAATTTAAAACTGATTCTTTTTAATATGTTATATTGTGCAGACCATCACTTTTAGTCCTCTCAGAATGCATTATCTCCTATTTTTTTTTTGGTGTCTTAAAAGTATGATGCAAATCTATTACTTTACAATTCTAGAAGGCAGAAGTCTGAAATGGGTTTCACTTGCCTAAAATGAAGCCTGTAGGCCGGGCTGCCATTCCTTCTGAAGGCTCTAGGGGAGCATCTGTTCCCTTGACTATTCAATCTTTTAGAGGTTTCCTGATTTCTTGGCTCATGGCCCCCTCCTCCATCTTCAAAACCCGGAGGGGCAGCATCTTCATCTCTCTGACTCAGACTGCCCTGCCTCTGTCTTTCACTTTTAAGGACCCATGAGAACGCACTGTTTCCTTGGATATGGCAAAAGCAAAATCACACATCTTCGGATTTCAGCTCAAAGGACCAAATAGCACTACTACGTGCCTTATCTGTACATCATGGGGTTCACTGCCCTCAAGTCACAAACGAAAGCGTCTGTGCACTTACTTTCTGCAGGTTCTTTAGGGCGGCGGCCGCTGGACGACTTCCTCAGCAGGCTGCGTCCCGAGGTAAAGAGGCTGGTTAGTTCCTCCAAAGGACTCGTGGGTGTTCTGGACCGGGAACCGCTCGGAGCCGACCCGTAGGTATTGACCGAGGCATTGACCATCTTGCTCCCATCTTGCGACACCGGTCTGGGGGTCAAATGAGGCACTGATGGAGAGCTCCTGGAGAGGCTGCCTGAATGCACGGCATCGTAGGGCGGGGGCCTTTTGAGGCTGAGCGGGGTCAGGGACCTGCCCATGCTAACGGGTGACGGAGAGGCGGAGTGACTTTTGGGGTAGCCGTGGGGAGACTGCGTTCGGTATAGAGTGGAAGGCGGGGGAGGGGACGAGGAGAGAACCGAGGCAGCAGGAATGGGTCCCAGGGCTCCAGCCTGGTCTTTCTCCAGTTTAGGGTGGCCGGAGGCCTGGGACGGCAAGGAGGATGGTGACGCCCCGGCTTGCTGTTTCATATAAGACACGTTTTCCAACACAGGAAGCTTTGTGACCTCCAGGGGGGTGAGCGGAGACTCATCAGAGTTGGGGGAGCACTGCACAGGGGCCGGGGGGAACACCAGCAGCGGGGGTCTATGAGAAAGCAGGTTGGGAAAGGGTGGAGGAATGTCACAGAGCAAACCCTTCGGGGTACATGGCACTGAGGACTTGGCCGAGTCCAAGTCAGGCACCGTGGGAGTAGCACACTGCGAAGAACAACTGTGATGGTCAAGGTCACACTTTGAGTCTTGGCCTAAGTCGTCAAAAATGGGGTATTTCATTTCTTCGTAGACGGCCTCACTCTGGTCGTCGTCGTCTTTCCGGAAGTCTCTGAGAATGTTCCCCACCATCTCAATATACACGGGTTCCTCCTCCTCGGGGCCCCCTGAGGGGCTGCTGACCTGGGAGAGGGAGGGGTCCCGAGGGAGTGAGGTCCTCCGGGGCACGTGCTTCTTGACATACGTTTCGTCAAAAGATGTGCTGAGCTGAGTGTTTGGATTCCGTTTTGGTTTTGGAGGAGGAATCTTCTTTGAATATTCATCACTGTGGGGTCTCGGCTTGGCTGGCACTAAAAGAAGAAGGAGAAAAAAGAAAACATAAAACAGATGAGTACAATAGGAAAGCTTTCAAATATGGCTTTCAGGTGGATTTACTGCTCTAAACATTGGAGGGGAGGGGTAATGCTGCGTTTCAAGCTGGAGACGTAGACTACAAAGCCAACAAAAGTCAAACATTTCCATATTTAGAAAAATATGATGCAAGAACAGTAGTCATATGTATCTTCAAACTAATATAAATAATCCAACACGGATAAATGCATTAAGACCAGGACTTACTCATCCCTCTGTCTCAGAATTCCTAAATAGAAACTTCAGATGACACAATTGCATAAAAACAATCACACATTTCATAAAAATCAACTTCTAAGAATTCAGCAACAAAGAAACTTAGGGGAAAAAAATCTAGAGTTTCTATTAGTACAAATGGTTACAAAAATACCATGGGGACTGAGCCCTTTAAATGATGTGGCTATTACACATGATCACATCTTGCTTTTATTTGGGGTAAAAATGTTCCAGCCTGCTAGACTTAATCTCTGTCTTGGTTCAGATAAATAACTTTTATACAGATGGGTCTGATTCTTCAGGGGAAATTGATGTGAACATTTTATGAGGCTAGACAAGTTAATCTCCAAATCTCCAGGTATTGTTGATTATGGTGTATTTGTTTTAGTTCATAAGATCTCTTATGATATCCCAAATGCTGTCTTGGAATGAATTTATTGCCCTGACACATCAGAACCCCCTAGAGAGTTTTACAAGAGAATAATAATCAAGAGAATGATGTGTAAGCTGCAAGAATAACTTCTGGAAACTCACAACAGATATGCATACAAGTACACCCCACAGCCCCCCTTGTAATGGAACATAAACTTCTGACTCCATCTAGTAGGTTGGAACAGGCTGGCAATGTGTCTGTGACTGCAATCAATTGTTTAGCATGCAGGGAAAGTACTGGAGCCTTGATATTATCTCATTGTGCTGATATATGATTACAATGATTATCATTTTTATGCAATGTGGCAGAATGTAGTTGCTTGTGGTAAGTGGTAGCATATAATGTAAGTTGACGGTATAGCTTATAGGTGTACACCTATGAGAAAAGAACAGGCTTCTCTATAATTTGCAGCTTGAAGGGAGGGGAGGTCTCAAGGCACAAACCAGGAAACACCCCAAATTTTCTGGGTTTTTTTTTCAACTAGCAAAACTTATGACATAGGAGCTTTTCTAAAACTTACTATTGGAGAAGCAAGTGCTTAGAGATAAGTTAGGTGGCTGCTTTATGCATCAATCGTGCCTTCAGAGAAAGAGAACCCATCAAACATTCTAGCAGTGGCTATATCTTTTGCTTCTCTAGGTCATTCCTGCTTTCAAATATTCTACTCCATTGTACCCATGGTGATGGTTTCACTCACTACAATCAAGCAGCTTGTTGAAGGGAAGTTTCTTAATGTATGTCGACTTTTCCTTAACTTACAATAGGAAAAAACTAGATGCCATTTTACAGGGGGACGATACAGCAGTAGAGACTTTTAGTGTCAAAAGGGAAAAGCCTAGGGACATAATGGAATGAAAACTATCCAGATAATTCTTTAGGCGGGACCCAAAGTGACCAATAGCTCTTCTCTATATCTCCTACCGGTCATACATGTTTATTGGTTTTGAAATCTACCATGCATGTTAATTTTCATATGATTCAAATAGATCATCAGACTACATACAAAAATTGGAGCCCAAATAAAGTAAACCCATAAATTAATGAGTGAGATTGACTTAGAACTGGAGGGACTTTGAAAGAGCCAGGACTTAGAACAAAAGTCCATCCAGATTACTCTTCTGAAGCTTGTTTCCTGCCATGCTCCACCTCAGTGTATCATCCTAGGCTAAGTAACTCACACTCTAGGAATATCTGCCACTGACTATTGAGTTCTAGGAGCTGGATGGTGTGAGAAGTAGCAAGGTGTTCTGTAAATGGAGAGTTAACCAAAAGCTAGGAATGAATGTGTGTCCATGAGATGGATAACTTCATTATATGCTTAAAATCATACTTAGAATAAGATTTTCATTTTTCTCTGGTTCCTAAATTATAATTCACTGCCGTTTTCTTTGACCCTTCCCTAAACATAGACTTGGGTTGTTGTACGGACAGAAATAACAGGACAGGCAGAGCCCAAGCCTAGGTAGAAACACTGCATTGAGGGAAGACCATAACCCAGGATTCCCGGGAAGCTAGAGATCAGTGGTAGAGCTGAGAGTGACATGATATTCAGGGAAGCAGCAGCCTCTTCCCTGGAACCAACATCCCTCTTCCCACATAGACTGGAAGGTGGCCTTTGGAATAAGCAAGACCAAAGTCTGGGTTGCGCTCAGAATATGCAACTTTGTTTGCCAAAAGATCAGAAAAAAATGAAATAAAGTCCCGCCATATCTATGAAATGTGGAAGAAAGAAAAAGGTTCTATTCTAGAACACAACATAGTTAGAATTAAGGTAACTATTCATTACGAAGAAATTGTGATAATTTATTTGAACTGTTAGGACAACTTCAGTACCAAACCAAGTACAGGTATTATCTGACGAGTGGGATTAAGTATAATATGTGACTCTTATGATGACTCTGAGGTAATCGAAATTGACAGTTGCTATGGACTGAACTGTGTCCCCTCCACAAATTCATATGTTGAAGTCCTAACCCCCAATGTGATGTTATTTGGAGGTAGATCCTTTGAGAGATAATTGGGTCATGAGGTCATGAGGGCTGGGTCCTCATGATGGATGAGATTAGTGCCCTTATAAGAGGAGTCACTGGGGTATCTTCGTTGTCTTATTCTCTCCACCATGTGAGGACATAGTGAGAAGGTTGCCATCTGCAAGGCAGTAAGAGAATTCTCCCCAGAAACTGACTGTGTTGGCACCTTGATCTTGGACTTCTGCCCTCAAGAACTATGAGAAAATATATGTCTGTTGTTTAAGCCACCCAGTCTGTGGAATTTTGTTATGTCAGCTTGAGATGACATAGACAAGAGAATACTGATTGAGCCCTATGTAAAGACCCTATAAAGCTAACTCCTGAGCGCCCACTTTTTCATCCTCTGGCACTGTAATACTTTAATAAGATTTGCTACTTGAAGAATTAACTCTTTCCCAGTCTTTTCAATGTAACCAGCACCTTCCCTTGCCCGGTACCTCCTCACCCCTGAAGCCACATCACAGAAAGCATATTACAGCTGAATACAGAGATGCTGATCCCAGGTACACCCAGGAGCATCCTTCCACCACACTGCCTGTTATTCTGATTCTTCTTAATCTGATGCTCCAACTTCTGATTCGTGCCAAGGCACGTGCCATATTATTTAATTAGACCCATTTTCTAGATGCTCTTTGTTTTCTGTAGTTGTTTGCTTTGGCATATAGACTCCCTGCTCCACTAGGTTTCGTATGTTCTGCTGCCCACCATCAGAAGCAGTTCTCCAGCCAACCTTGCCCAGCAAATCCTTCATTATCTGGGCAAGCTTCTTCCCTCTCCCCTTCCCTGTGTGGTGAAAAGAGCCTAATGCAGGCAGATTCATATAATTCAAACACATTTTGTTTCCTGCTCCTCTTCCTTTGTATGAATCCAAATTTAAAATGAGAGAAATGAGGATTATTTAGTGAGTAAAGCAATAAGTAAATTACAGCCAATCGGGATGAATAAACAGATTCATTCCTTCAGTATTGGGAGACTTTTCTTCCAGGCAATGTCTGGTTCCCATTCCACATCCTCCTTGCAATCTCATGGCTCTCTCCGAAAAGTCAGAGGAGGGAATAATTTCATCGCTAATGAAATGATTTTTCTCTGCATTTGCGACATCATCTGGTTTCACCTTATTCCATGTATTGAGTAAATATGAAATTTTGTTTCAACTGTCATATCTGCTTTGCTTGTTTTTTGTTTACCCAAATAAGAAAAAGTCTGAAATTTTTAGCAACTTTGCCTCATGATTTATTCTAGTTTAACATCACCCTGGGGAATTAAAAATTAAGGGAAAACTCATGTTTCAAAAGTTATTTCTTTAGAAGGTGCTTAAAAATAGTCTTGATCTACATATATAGGTGCTGAACTACTGCTAATAAAAGACAATAAAAATTGCATTGCAAATTTCAACACTTAACCAAATTCAACCACAATAAAAAGTGATTTTTATTGCTCTTAAATGAATTTTAAATCATTACTAATAAGTCCAAAGATAGAAGCAATAATCCCTGTTCAGCTCCAGAACACAAATTTCATGCTTAAAATAGTATAATGACAGTAGCATTGAATAAGCAGAAAGTGACATTTTTGAAATGAAGTATCTGAGCACAAAGGTAATGCATGGCTTTCAGTCATGCCCAGATGATCTGTCTTTCAGAGTTAATTTTGGAAATCTGCCATGTCCCTTGTCAAGCTATCCTTCTGAAATAATATTTTCCCTACTAAAAAAAAAAAAGTGTACTGTAAAACCAGGCTTTGGTGTCTGTGAATATTCTTGACCCAAGAAGTGAAAAAAGAGATGACATCACAGGTGGGTATTTCCCCTGATGGAAAGTCTCTTTGGTCACAGACTCCCAGAAGTTGAAGGACTCTTAGAGATTATCCAACCCAAACTCCATATATCACTGATGAAGAAATATAAATGCCTTATCAACTACTTTAAAAAAACCTCATAATGTCAATTCAATCTTTTATAACTTTTAAAACAAAGGAAAGAAATAAGGGGGGAAAGCTCTGTAATTCATTATTTTGTATATGGCATAAAGTATCATTTTAAAAGGTCTTCTCACCCATGCTTATAGTGGTATTATTGCATGGCCTGGTTATAGAGGTATACTTAAAGAGCTCTGGTTATAGAGATATATTTAAATATGTAATTCAAACTGGGAGATTAGAGTCCAGTGAACAGAAGTAACGGCCACACTCTGTGATACTGAACTGGCTGATTCTAGAAGGTGAGAGGCACATTTCCCACTTTCAGCAGAATTGTGCTCAC